CTTTCTTTTATCATCTCTTCTTTTTCTAATTGGACAACCAATAAAAAAAAATCATCTACTTGAGGAAAGTGCATAAATCACTTCGATTAAGATCTGGCGATTCACCAGATCTCAGTAGCTCATGCAGCATTTTTCCAGATCCCCACAGCATTCGTATTGTTTGAAACTGGGTTACATGCTATGGTTTGTCTATCTGCCGATACAGTGGCGACTCTACGGCACGATGCGACCTGATGATATGAATGATCGTATTCGAGCTGCTTTTTGGCTAAGTTTATGACTCAGCATCCAAATCACTTCGGCGACACTGAATTTCTGTTAAAGAAAAATATATTTGGCAAATGATTAGTTTCCTCTTAAGAAAATAACTGACATTTTACGATATTTTGAAAAAAAATTCAGTAAGACAATTCTATTTTAACACGCAATCTACTCTGTAAAATAAAAGACAAATTAAATCTGTGTATTTTGTACTAACTCTACAATATCCTATTCCAACTACAACTATTGTCTAGATTTTTTATTTAATTATTGGCAACAACAAATCTTTATTTTCTGTTTAACAGAAAATAAGAAACAACAAACAAACAAAAGACGAAAAAAAAGTACAAACGAGAAAAATGTCAATCACCCGTGGCAACAAAACTGCCATAAGTGTCAACAACCAAATCCCCATGTGATTGTGCGTCTTGTTGACGTGATGATATGGTGATGGAGTGATGTGGTGATGTCGCCGCTGAATTACGTAACATATACACACTTTCCTAAAAGAAAGAAAGGCAGATAAAAAACAGATTCACGAATTAGTTGGTTCTACTGAATGTCATTGAATATACTTCATCTTAAAAAGCAAAAAGCTCTTAAAGTCACAGATTCGATTAATCTAAATGCGCAACGAAAATTAAGCACCTCTTCCTCACAAGTAAGAACAATCATCTCTTCGTTTATGCGCGATCTTCGGTGGTTGATAAGCTCAATACTAGCAACGGTACCTAATAACTTTCAGCTCTAGGCTTGAAACAGAAAACGAAAATCATGCTGTAACGCTAGAATTGCATGATTTTCGTTTTCTGTTTCAGACTGTCAGTCTTAATGACGAAATCATATCACTTGAATTCGAGCTAGTTCTTTGAATATGAAAAAATACAAAGGATGCAAAAATGGCAAGACATTAGACGCTTTATCTCATATAGACCATACATCCTGAAATATAAATTTTTCACACTGGGAACTTCCGGGGCATACGAAAGTGGCAAAAATCCTTAAACGTCAAGCCATTCACTGCAGTCAGAACAAAATGAAGCATCTATATATGGTGCAAAAATGAACAAGAAAATTCTTTCTTCGAGTCTTTTGTAACTCCAAACTGCTTCCATTTTTCTTTAAACAAGACAAAAGCGTACAAGTGAGTTCATTGAAATTGTATTTCTCTGTGTTGATAAAAACAGGACATAATAAAATGGTTTCATCCATTCTATACACACATTCAAATCATCTGCTGTTACTTCTGTAAAAGGAAAAAAGAAAGAACCAAATAGAATTTTGACTTCGTGAAGAGAGAAATGAATGCATAAATACAAAACTAACAAACTATACCAGTTAGCTTTTCATATGGCCAGTTTGGTTGGCATGTAATTAAACCAGCACAAGCACTAACATTTTTTTGAAATTGTGAATATTCAATATCCAATGTGCAGAAACCAATCAACTAAAATAAAAACCAAAAAAGAGGAATGAAATGTCAACGAAGTGTTAATGTTTTAAAAAAGCATTAAACCAACAATGAGTGCTTTCTCCCTGAATAAGCTTCATCTCAACTGTCGAGATATGGAAAAGTAACAGAACATAACATTATTTCCTAAAACTGGCATGAAATTTAAGACATTTGTTAACTTTAAAAGAGAGTCGTTTGATTTCATTTAGAATGCATTTTTGGACTTTTCTTTCGAATATTTGATAAAAAAGCGAGATTTTATTAGACAGTTTTAAAATGCTATCTATTCAACTCGTCTCAAGCCTAACGATGCTTTTCGTATGACGTCATTTTTTTGTATTAGTTGCTTTAGTTTCAAAACTCAAAATCGACTGTTGTTCAACGTCGTCAAATTTTGTCAAATTATTCACAATCAATAATACTATCAATGAAAATTATGAATAAAACAACTGGCGAAATGTTAATATTGACAAATAATGAAGTATAATCTATTCTTATGATCTTTTTATGTTAGTTATGTTATATACGTTTACATTTCTTCTAGATAATAAAAGAAAATTTTCTTGGATGTGAAAAACATCAAACGTGTGATGATTGTTCAATGACGAATAGTTTGAATTGTCATTGGTGTTCGGAACAAAACAGGTAATTAAGAAATGATAAAAAATAACTTTGCATGAGTTACATAAAAAATTTTACAATTTAGATGTGTATCAATCTTTGAATGTTCAAACGGTGTTAATCATCGGAAGAAGAAATTCAATATGTGTACAAATATTCATAATGTGATACCAAATAAAATCTCATTGAAGAAGTCAAATTCATGGGTAAAATAGACTTTGAAAACTATTTTATCAAAATTACTGAATTTCTTTTTTCTTCTACTTTTAGCTTGATGTAACACTGAGTTCTTCGTTAGAGACACATTCATCAGATATTCATTACAACAAACCTCGATTTTTATTGAAATAAAATTTCTTCCTATATGTAATGTTTTTAGTTTGCGATTTTTTTCAATTCCAGTAGCAAATTTGAAATTTCATTATCGATATCTAAAGCTGAGGGACAGAAACAGAAAAGAAAAAAACTTAAAAAATAGAGATCATTTCGTGATTAGAATAGTTATCATAATAAAAGATAGTAAGAATAATAGAAATATAATAGAAGATTGATAGTTACAATCAAAGTGTATAAGCTTTTATTCTCTAACTTTTTGCAGCTTATGACACAAATTGTTCCCATTACTTATCATAATTTGTTAGATCCAGTGCCACTAAACGAGGAATGCCAGCTAATTGTGCAGTATATTCATGTATAAATGTTTCTAAATTATTGCCATTTAATCGTAAATCTAATTTTTCAATATGTAAATTCGACTGTAAACCGTCACATCTCTCCTTGAAATAGGAAAAAGACTCAAAATTAATATGTGCATGCCCATCATTTGAGAAGTGCTGCGGATTCACAATCAGAATGAGAGTTAGCTAACATGTGAATCAACAAAATAAAAACAACGCTCATAAAGAATTTGAAAGCATTCTGTCACTTCACTCCTACAGTCAGTCAAATAATTATTTAAACACAAACTAATTTCTTTTCGCTGGACAAAAAAGCATCCAAACATTTCTTTTCACCTAATTCGGCCGATAGATGTAGATAAGTTTCATTATTTTGATATTGAAATTATCAACCATTGCAAAACTCATTTTACCATTTGGATAGATCTGCATCTGAAGTAGTTCAAGTGACGTTGTTTCCTGAAAATAATCTTTAACACTTTCAACTGTATTTGCTATTGGTGACGATGATGTTGTTGATTTAGCAATGTTTGTTATAAATAATCGACGCAGTTTCGTTTGTTGGAATGAATTAAATAGCTGAATGAACAAAATACATATCAACATGGCTAAGGATATTTTAAATAGAGCATTTAAGGTCAATATAATTAACATGCAGATGAGAAGGATAAGATGCACTATGCTTTCTTTTCTTATACAGAAGTTACTGAGAACTTTTGCTCCTAAATAAGTTTTTTTTAAATATTTCTAAAACGGGCATCAAATGGCCTATTACATTTTCTCTAAAAACTTTTTCTCAAATCTCTAAATTCGCATTTATTTTGTGTTAAATCATTTACAGAGTAATAAAGTGAAATACTTTTCTGAAATAACACAATTAGTTAATTGCAAACATCATCAGTAATGACATAAATGTTCAATACGGAATTCAATATCACTTAAATGTAATTTTTCTAAATTATTTTTATTTGCGATGTTATTATTACTCGAAAATAAAACTGTAATACACTAAAAAATAATAGACCAAACTTAGATAAATAGTTACAGTTGTAAATCAACGAAAAAAAAAAATTTACATTTTCATCTTTACTTTAATTTCCTGATAAATTTGATGTTGTTAATCTACGAAATAGAAATGGATTTTGTACTAATGCCGTATTAAATATATGAATACTTTTTTGTGTTAATGAACATTGTTGGAGATTCAACGTAAGTAAGGGAATTTTTGTACGTTGTTGTAATGTACTACTCAATGTTATTAAACCTGTAAATAAACCAAAAAAAAAGAGAACAAAGATTCGATCAGTATAAGAATATAGTCTCTCTATTTCTGTTTTTAAGTTACAAAAAGAAAAAATTTAAGTTACCTTTATCTTCAATTGGATTATTAGATAGATCAATATGTTCAAAATTACATATTGGAAATGCAACTGAGAAACGGGAACATAAAAAACCAGAATATAAAGCACATAAATAATAAAACATGATCGAATATACTTTACACTTACTTTCGTAAACCACAGTTATTTAAACATAATTCTTCAATTGATGTAGCCAGACGAGCAACCATACAAAATTCTTCAATATTTTTACTAGACTAAAATCTACAAAAACCAAGAAATAAAGTTACGTTGAAAATAAGCAAATTTTATAAATGCCCCCTTTATAAAGTGTACCAAACTGTCGTCATTTATCAGTACTTATACAGTTAGTCTTTCTCAATATACAAGTCACTCTTATCAGTTTAACATTGTCAATTGTTAATTTTGTAAACCAATCATTATGCCAAAGTACATTTAATATTGGCAACCAATCTCTGTAACAACAAAAAGGTACTCAGTCGGATGACTATGTTGCTTTAAGACATATTCTATTTACTTTTGCGTTAAATTTTCAAATCATTATAGGCCTAAAAAATAGGCAAAAAAACACACTGGTGAGTGATAAAGTTGTTTGCCTGCATACAAGTTTTTAAACCAAAGCCATTGCATTCTGTGGTCGCCCGATATGTCAAAGTTTAGATTTATCAGAATAGAATTTAATTAGAGGAAAGGAAAATTGTTTCAAACATTTAGTTTTTTAAAAAGTCTAATGCCTGTCTCTAACCAGGTTTATTAATGATAAATGCAGCAAGCGGATGCAAGTTGGACGTGTACATTCGATGCGAAAATGTACATTGCTGAGCAGTTAACTTGGAAAATTTCTTCATGCACTGCACTTTGTCGCAAAAAAACAAAGTTCATCACTTTGGTTTAACGTTTTATTAAAAATACTGCTTAGATGTAACTCATGTAATTTTCTGCTTTATATCGTTTTTTTTATATTTAAAACAGACGACAGGAACACATCTTTTTTTTGGACAAGTGCTTCGAGTTCCATTTTTACAATACTATCATTCAAAGTTAGACGGAAGAGTATAAAAACATATATAACATTTAAAATATTTATTTAGAAAGAGTAAAATAAAAAATCAATTATTGATGTATAGTAGGCATGCACCGGTTACGGTTAACCGGTCATAACCGTAACCGTAATAACCGGCCCTAGTCGAGAGTCCCGGCAGAAGTCCCGATGGATTCCCGCCGGACTCCCTCGAGAGTTTTTTTCTCAAAAAATCCATAGGGAATCCTACGGGACTCCACAAAAAGTCCCGCAGGAGTCCCGTACACAAAAAGTTGTATTTTTTATTGA